ATATATATACACACACACACACACACACACACACACACACACACACATTTTCTTTATTTAAAATAAAAAATGTTGAACTTAATATTGATCACAAGAGCCTTGTTAAAAATTCACCCTTCACAAAGTTAGCGCCACAAAATTTTGCCACACCTCTAAGTATGAAAAGATCTATATCGATACAAACGACAATATTGTTAAATTCAGAGTGTCGTTTTAATATTCTCCTCTCTGAGCCGTCACCTTATTGTGGCGGAGTGGTGTGTGTGTCCCAATGATCCGGGGCGCTAAATTGACTTCTGAAATGAGTTTCTTTCACAGGGTGTCTGCACTTTCCCTGAAGAGATTCGATGAGAAGCTTGGTCATGTAGGAGAGGCTCAGATTAAAGCCGCTCAATTGAGGTGGTTTAGGCATCCGGATAGGTTACTTCCTAGAATCCTCCCCGGGGGACTTCTCCAGCCGACACAGCTGGAGCATGACCCGGGACACGCCGTAGAGACGATGTTTCCCCTTGAAAGAGTTGGATGAAGTGGCTAGGGGAGAGGAGTGTGTGGGCATCCCTGCTAACTCTGCTGCCCCCACCACCCGGCCTTGATAAGACAAAGACAATGGATGGATCAAAGTTTACGGTCATACTAAAAGTTAGAGTGCATATTTGCTTTGAACTAATCAGTAGTCACTGATATTCCAAACTGCCCCCGGATGCTGAAGTTACGCCCCCCCAAAACTGGTTCCCCTAACAGTGTGTGTTTGCTGTGTCTACTACAGTACTTTGATGACTCAAATGTGGCTCATGTGAGCGAATGATTTTGTTCTATTCTACAGCTCAAAAGTGACAAAACAAACATGTTGTGTACTTGTTTTGTTTTTTAAGGAGAGTAGCTGATGATGTTGCTTGTGTCGACAATGCTGAGGATGTAACTGAAAAGTGAGTCCTGCTGGCTGCATTGCATCCTCCTCGAATACAAGGCCCACAGGAGCAGACGAATGGAAAATAGGGGCTACAACTTCCTCACATCTCCGCGTTTCACTGCCGCAACCAGACTGTCGTCATTGTCCGTTTTAATCGGTCTGCCAGCTCCAATCTCCTTGCCGTACTGTAGAATACAGCAAAACAGAACACCCACGATAGCCGCTCCGACTCGCTTTCCCATTCTTTATGCAGAGTTACAGCACCATCTACCGGCAGTCAGAAATAATGCAACAGATGTGTCACTGGAACAAAACGCAGGAATCGAAATTCATTCCACTCACGCCTCTTTACTGTCCTCCTCTTCGTGACACCCAAACACGTTCTTCCTCTTCAAAATATGTATACATTAAATAATAATTTTGATTTCAGAATAATTTGTCAAGGTTTACATTTTGAAGTGAATCATGCAACATTACACATTCAGTAGTGTACACTGAGCTAGAAATACCCCCCCCCCGTTTTTTGGTTCACAAAAAGATTTATCAGATTTATCAGCTTATAATAAAATCAGTGACTTTGTAAAATTATACAATAAAAAAATACTGTCATTTTTGGGCTGTATCTGTTTAAAAATGTAAGGCGGTTGTAAGCTACCCCTCTCCTAAAGTACACTGAAAAAAATATATAAACGCACCCCTTTTGTTTTTGACTCCCATTTTTCATAAGCTGAACTCAGAGGATCGAATGCTTTTTCGATGTACAACAAGGCCCACAGTGAATACATTTGTCCAAATCTGGGTTATGGGGCACTTCTTCTTTGCCAAGATAATCCATCCACCTCGAAGGTGTAACATATCATGATGCTGATTATTGCACAGGTGTAACTTTGCTTCCTAGTTTTGCATTGATATTTGTGTTTGGTATATTTGTGTTCAGTATACAGAGAGATTACGAACAAAACAGGGCAGCAGGGCTCAATGGGAAAGTAGTCGTCTCCTGGCCATTGTGGCCATGTCGAAATAACCTTGGGCAAGATACTAAATACCAAGTTGTTCCTGATGCTGTGCCATCAGTAGGTGAATGAAACACAGCATTTTGAGAAAGTGCTATTCAAGTGAAAGCTCATAAAAAAATAGTATCATGACCTAAAACATTTATGGATCGGTTGAGGTGTACGCATAGGACCCCATCCATAGATCTTGATTTTAAAGAAGCTCCACGGATTCTTAATAGAGTTGCAGTCAGGGGATGTTGGTGGGCACACAGTGTTTATCAGCTAATTCGCTGTGTTGGATGGTGCACTGATGCTGCATTTCTGTCTGAAAGCATGGCTCTTCTTTTTATACCATAGCAGAAAATGGTCAGAGGAAAATAAATATTTTTGTAGAGGTCTTTTAGAGCCCTTCTTGATGCCTTTCCACCGCGCTTGTGCTAGCGCTATCTCGGCGGCGCAACCCTAACACAATATGCCGTGTTAAATTTAATGGGGGATCTGCAAACGTTTAGTGTCTGAACAGTTTTTCTGTATAGCAAGGACTTTTAAACTACTTTCTGTGTGGTTATTTATAATGTGATGGATGTTTATCGGAAAATGCCGTCAGACCAGGGGCAACAAAAATAATGTTCATGAGTTTGGCCAATGAATAGCTTGTCTGTGTAGTGTATTCAACTGAACATAGAATGAAACGGATTTGCAAGTCATTTTATTCTGTTTTTATTTGTGATCCCCAGGCAATCAGTGACCCTGTCTGAATGGCCCTCATGTGGTGCAGTGCTTTAAAATCTGGGTAGGCTGGTGGGGAACAGGCAGGAAGTACTAAAATAGTATTTATGGGAGCACTCTTTGTTTGACCGTTAACAGTTGAGCAGGGCGTGGAATCAGCGCATTCAGAAGACATGGCCGCAGTGTTTGAGAGCGACGACAAGGGCTTTGTGAAGTGCTTTCCCAAAAGGCACATTTACAAAACTGCTTTAAAATCGTGCATAATGTTACATTGCCTCCGACCTTTAAAATCGTTTGAATAGTTCAGTTGTATTGAACTTTAAAATACAGTGCAGTCACACTGCAGTCACACTGACTCTTTTAGAACCGTTTGTCTCGATGCATTTATTCTTAGGTGCAGTTTTGATTGATATGTGCAGCACCTTTTAATTGGATCGTTATGTTGAAGCGTGGGTTTTTTTCATTTCCTGTATTTAAGACCAGTACTAATGTTCAAACTGTGCAACGTTACAGTGGATTACAATAACATGAAAGATACTTTTTGGGGGGAATAAAGTCTCTGCCTCTTGTTTTTTTTTTTTTTTTTTTTTTTTAATGGACACTTTAGGCCTGTGGCAGCTATTTTAATTCTCGTCATGATGATTGTTCTTGAAGGTTTAAATCAATTTTGAGGTGGTGCAACACTTGGTTTGGTTGATTAGGAGACGCTGGGGATTTATAACATTTAATGCGTGTGTCATGTTATACCACGGACGGCCACTAGGGGAATCTGTTCGACCTGACACGACAAACTTTTCTTGTGGTTTCGGGGTGGGCGGTGGCCTGACCTCCAAACGTCATTTTTTGAGACGCCGCTTGGTTTGAGTTAACAGGACAGGAGCACTTCCTTGGTCCACCGGACGCCAATTAGCGGGGAACGCACACTGGTGAGCCCTTCAATGCCAACTTCACACTATCACTACCGCTTTGGTTGCATCGTTTTGGCCGGCGAGACACAAACGTGTTGCCACTGTTTGTCCTGTGTCAGCCAGTTTTGTGGTTTTGTTGTGGCTTTTGCTCGTTCAGAGCCAGACCAAATGGAGTGGCGCCAGCAAAGCACTTTCAGCTGCGCAGATGCCTTCAATGAAGCTCGGCGTTGGATTGAGGTGAGTGACATGTTCGATCACTAATTGCCTTTTTTTTATGTTTGGACAAAACACAAGTAGTCACTTAGACGTTATTTGATTCATTAGAAGATTCAATAAATGTGCTTATGCAGGCAGGATCCAATAAAACGAAGGAAGCATGTGCACTCTATTCAAAAGCTTTACTTTATCATATGAAAGTTATTTGTATAGGAACTGGAGCAACTAAATATGAAAGCAAATCCGGTTTCCATTGCAGGTATTTCTACATTTTTGCTTTTTGTATGTTACTCTGTCAAGGTTACTGAACTGTGTGTGGCGAGAGTGATTGACACTGATGCAGAGTTGCGTTTGATGGATGTGGTTTCAGTGCAGTGTTGCACATTTTGCAAATCTTAAATTCTAACCAATCAACTCAAATGAGCAGCCCCTGAATGTTGACTAACTCTAAATAGGGTGTCAGCTGTCCGAGTGGATCATTATGAGAATCTGCACAATAATTGGTTGGCAGTACTGTAAACCCATGCCAATGTTGCCCCCCCCCCCCTTTCCTATGCCCTGTCAAATAAAAGGATGGGAAGTGTGCGCGTGCACATAGCAGGCAGGACGAAAACAGCATCTTTATTAATTAGTTGGTGAATGCTGTTCTAAACAGCCCCTTCTTTTTCAAACCCCATCAAGAATTTGCTAATCGTGCCAAGTGGGAGGAGACAATTTGAACCCAAGTACAAGAAGAGAATGTTTTGGGTTCCGCCTCAACTTTAGTAGTGTCAATCGATTCAAGCAGTTCAGTTTTCTCATCAAACCTGGATTCGAATGGCTTTTTAAACAATTTTAGAATGTACTGATAAATTTGCAAATTGGATTCGACAAATGGACATTGATTGATTTTTGTCTAATGTGATTCGTGTTCGGTTTGACCGATTTTTAAGATGGGTGCTGTAGCTAGTAGAGGATGATGACAACTTGACTGACTTGTGCTTTAGTAGGGGAACTTTCCAGGGGTGAGCAGTGGGTGGGGCCAACAGGGCTGTGGCCTCGGTCATCCACCCGAGGGTGGGTTCCACAGCCACCCGTCCACAAAAACATATTTGGGGCATGGATGTTGGCAATTGTTAATACTCATCCGCATGTAATTCGGCATCCTGCTGTGATAGAGGGGACATAAAGTTCCGCCCGCAACCCCCCCACCCACACACACACAACACACCATCGACAAATTATTTCGGGGCATGTCTGCTGTGCAGGTTGCCGCCCCTGCCATAGGCCAAACTTCCTGTGAGGATTTAAAAAATAATAATTTTCTTATATTTTGAATTGCATAATTTCATTTGCATTTGTTTTTTTTGTTTTTTTTTTTGTTTTTTTTTTTTGTTTTGTATTTTAGGAGGTAACCGGACAACCTTTTGGCTGCAGTGACTTTCGTGCAGCTCTCGAGAATGGAGTCCTGCTTTGCGAGTGAGTAATGTTCCATTTACAAAGTATATGTAATTGGAACTAACTGTTTGGAGAAGCTATTCAAGTTTTCAAAGCAATTTTCTCAATATGAGTCGCGGTAAGCTTTTGAAAAACATGCCGCCCATGTTTTTGTTTTTTGTTTTTTTTTTTTTTAATTGCTAATGCCGTTTACTACCAGCATGTTGCTGAATTATAGTATTTCGTGGGCGATTTCAAAATTATGTCATTAAAGGCGGTTTTGCTCCTCCTCACAGCCTGATCAACAAGTTGAAGCCCGGAATCATTAAGAAACTGAATCGACACGCTACTCCCATTGCTGGCTTGGTAAGTGTTGGATACGGTGTTTCCGTGTCTAACCTTGTGGCAGGTGTGTTTATTGGACTTTGTTCAAGTAAAATGCCACCGACTCACCAGGCACTTCTTGTGTCTCGTGTTGCGGTTTCCTCTCCAAAGCCTGATGAGAACTGATGACCCCACCTCCGAATATGTTAAGTTGTTTTTCGCGTTGCCATATTTCGATTCTTATTTTGGCTCCAGGCTGTGTACATAGCTCAATTCAAATTTCGAGAACTGCCCACAGCAAGCCAATGGGGGGGAAAAAAAAAATCAATTGCCCCCTACCTCCGACCAGGGCCGATTAAATAGACAGGCTGAAAGTCGAGGCTGATGCGGTTCAGGATGGTCGGGTTCGTGTGTTGCAAATAATCTACCCATACATATTAAACTGACTACACGTTCCCCAAGGCAATTTGTAACATGCCAAAGTGTGCGCACAACAACCTGCGACCAGTTGCATAGCGATTACAGCAAACACTGTCTCACCGTTCCAACGGGGTAAAAGTTCACGTTTGTTAACGCCAGCAGGGTATTAATTTAAAAAATGTGCCGCATATGGTGGTTGTAGTTTTCAGTGGTGTAAATACACGCAGTCAGAGACTCATTGCTGCAATTTGGTTCAGTCACTTTTTTTTTTTTTTTAACCATTGACTGCTTTCAGGGGAAGACATACGACTTCAATGAATTTCTCCTTAAAAGTAATTGTACAATATGAATTGTGTGCAATTTATTTAAAGAGATTTATCAACGGTGAAGAAGCGAGTTTTTAGATTTGTATCATGTTTATTTCCAGGTTAAAACAAATTGAACTGCTCTCCCAAAACTCATAAAAGTTAATTGATTGCAAGGAAACGGCACTTGCATGAGATTTCCAACTCATGCTTTCCTTGAGTTGCTGATGTTTTTTCTCCGTTTTGGGTTTTGATCCACAGGATAACATCAATGTGTTTCTGAAAGCTTGTGGGAAACTGGGGCTCAACGAGTCCCAGCTCTTCCACCCCGGAGACCTGCAGGACCTGTCAAATCGAGCAATCGTCAGGTGCACTTGTCAGCGGTGTTGTGCCTTTTTTTATTTTTTTCTAAAATGTAAAATATGCAGGCGGGTGCATGTTATCCATTTTATAAACGGCTTCTCCTCACGAGGGTCACGGGCATGTTGGAGCCTATTCCAGCTGTCTTTGGGCAGCAGGTGGGGAGGGGGCGGGGGGACACCAGCCAATCTGTTTATTTTTTTCGCAGTTGTTAACCTAATAGTCAAATTGCGCAAGTCATTTTGAAATTTTGCTCAAACTTGTCTTCCGAAAACATTTAACTCTGGCCAAAGCTACTCTGCTATTGGACTAACGCAATGCTCCTTAATGTAAACGTTGTACTTGAAGTTACTCAGCCTCGCTGTTCATGTTCTGTGAAGATATGGAAAAGTAAAAAAAAAAGAAACAAGCCTTGCTCTGCTGTAAATGAAGGATTTACATTCTTTTTAAATATTTTTTTTCAGTGCGTTGCTTTTTTTTTTGTGATCATCCTTTCCAGCCAATCATTCTTTTTTTTTCTCTATTGTAGGCGAAATGAAAGCAGTCGAAGACTCAAAAATGTAAGTATCTTTTTATTTTCGCAAGTTTCTTAACGCAGTCGGATTTTTCTAACCACGCATTTCATCATTAGCACTGCCCTCTAAACTTGCATTGGATGAATGAAGGTGCTGTCACATGTTGTTTTCTATCCAATTGTAAAATGGCCTCTTTTCTCACATGAGCTTTTGATTGCGAGGCACGTGAATGGATGTGCAGACTCGTCACTTTTTTTTTTCAGCGCACGGAGCTGCATAGTTGCATCAGAAGCTTCATTTGAATTCACGCACTGGTTGACCACATGCACACATTAATGAGGCTCTTTGTTAGTGCCCAGTCGCTTTGAAAAGAACTGTGCCATTTTTTTCCCTTTCTATTAGGCAATTGGTGGTGTTTGTTTTTTTTTTTTTTCTTTTGGCGGCAGTCTTTCATCTGCCAAAGACATCTCTCTTTTACGACTGTTTTACACAATCCTCGTCACGAACAAAATGGTAAATGCTAAAGTAATTCCTTGTATAGGGTCCTTTTTAGCTTTGGTTAATTCCACAATTTCTCACTGATTCCACACATTTGTCACGTCTATCTCAGGTTCTTATCACCGTCTACTGGTTGGGACGTAAGGCCTACTTAGATGATGGCTACAACGGCGCTCAGCTAAACTTCAAGGCCTTTGAAGGACTGCTGGGCTTGGCATTGTCCAAGGTCTGATCCGTTTCTTGAATAGCAGTTTTGTCGAAGTGACCCCAAACGCTAACACCATCTTCTTCCCGTCAGGCTCTCGACGAGGGCGGGAATGCGTGTGTGAAAGACGGTGCCCACCGAGAGTGCAGTCATCCAGGAGGGAGAATGAGCTATAAGAGGGAGAGTTCAGTGGATAGCTTGGACTCTGCAGATACCCAAGCCCCCCGACCAAGTAGTGAAGGTGCTTGGTTTGTGCGCGCTTGTATGGGTTCTAGTGGTCAATCATGCATCACAGCACTGCCTAAAATTAGTCCGTCTGGTCCATTTAGGCTTGATGAATCCAAGTACAGTACTAGAGTTTAACTCAAAGGGAAGTCAATCCAAAAATTGTCTCTACACGCCTTCACTCGTCTAAACTCTACATTCCGATTTAATATTTTTACAGTTTGTGGAATATGGGTGAAGCAGCAAAATCAACTTTTTAGCCATCTCGGGAGGCGGCTCACCTGATTTCTGAAGCTGAGCCACGATTGGTCGTTCCCTGAGCAGCTGTGATGTCATTATCTCTCGACAGCAAAAGACAAAATGGCCGCCCCATAAGATAGCAAAACACGGGTGGATCTCGCTGCTTAACTCATATTCCACAAATGTTAAGACTGGTGGTGCGTAGAACATATTCTTGTCAAGAAAATTTTACGTTTCTTTTGGCGGCAGTCTTTCATCTGCCAAAGACATCTCTCTTTTACGACTGTTTTACACAATCCTCGTCACGAACAAAATGGTAAATGCTAAAGTAATTCCTTGTATAGGGTCCTTTTTAGCTTTGGTTAATTCCACAATTTCTCACTGATTCCACACATTTGTCACGTCTATCTCAGGTTCTTATCACCGTCTACTGGTTGGGACGTAAGGCCTACTTAGATGATGGCTACAACGGCGCTCAGCTAAACTTCAAGGCCTTTGAAGGACTGCTGGGCTTGGCATTGTCCAAGGTCTGATCCGTTTCTTGAATAGCAGTTTTGTCGAAGTGACCCCAAACGCTAACGCCGTCTTCTTCCCATCAGGCTCTCGACGAGGGCGGGAATGCGTGTGTGAAAGACGGTGCCCACCGAGAGTGCAGTCATCCAGGAGGGAGAATGAGCTATAAGAGGGAGAGTTCAGTGGATAGCTTGGACTCTGCAGATACCCGAGCCCCCCGACCAAGCAGCGAAGGTGCTTGATTTGTGCGCGCTTGTATGGGTTCTAGTGGTCAATCATGCATCACAGCCCTGCCTAAAATTAGTCCATCTGGTCCATTTAGGCTTGATAAATCCAAGTACTAGAGTTTAACTCAAAGGGAAATCAACCCAAAAATTGTCTCTACATGCCTTCACTCGTCTAAACTCTACATTCTGATTTAATATTTTTACAGTTTGTGGAATATGGGTGAAGCAGCAAAATCGTCTTGTTCTTAGCCATCTCAGGAGGCGGCTCACCTGATTTCTGAAGCTGAGCCACGATTGGTCATTCCCTGAGCAGCTGTGATGTCATTATCTGTCGACAGCAAAAGACAAAATGGTCGCCCCATGAGATAGCAAAACTTGTATGGGTTCTAGTGGTCAATCATGCATCACAGCACTGCCTAAAATTAGTCCGTCTGGTCCATTTAGGCTTGATGAATCCAAGTACAGTACTAGAGTTTAACTCAAAGGGAAGTCAATCCAAAAATTGTCTCTACACGCCTTCACTCGTCTAAACTCTACATTCCGATTTAATATTTTTACAGTTTGTGGAATATGGGTGAAGCAGCAAAATCAACTTTTTAGCCATAAGGGAAATCAACCCAAAAATTGTCTCTACATGCCTTCACTCGTCTAAACTCTACATTCTGATTTAATATTTTTACAGTTTGTGGAATATGGGTGAAGCAGCAAAATCGTCTTGTTCTTAGCCATCTCAGGAGGCGGCTCACCTGATTTCTGAAGCTGAGCCACGATTGGTCATTCCCTGAGCAGCTGTGATGTCATTATCTGTCGACAGCAAAAGACAAAATGGTCGCCCCATGAGATAGCAAAACACGGGTGGATTTCGCTGCTTAACTCATATTCCACAAATGTTAAGACTAATGGAGCTGCGTAGAACATATTCTTGTCAAGAAAATTTTACAGTTGACTGCCCCTTTTTGACCAAACAGCTGAACAGGAAAGGTAAAATAAATAAATAATGAACACAAAGCATTGCTAGTGGGCAGTGTATGAATTATTTTCGTGATCTGGACAAAGGAATGTATTTATTTTCTGCCCAAGTGGCATCAATAGAATAATTGCTCACCTGATTTCTGAAGCTGAGCCACGATTGGTCGTTCCCTGAGCAGCTGTGATGTCATTATCTCTCGACAGCAAAAGACAAAATGGCCGCCCCATAAGATAGCAAAACACGGGTGGATCTCGCTGCTTAACTCATATTCCACAAATGTTAAGACTGGTGGTGCGTAGAACATATTCTTGTCAAGAAAATTTTACGGTTGACTGCCCCTTTTTGACCAAACAGCTGAACAGGAAAGGTAAAAAAAAAATAAAAATAATGAACACAAAGCATTGCTAGTGGGTAGTGTATGAATTATTTTAGTGGTCTGGACAAAGGAATGTATTTATCTTCTACCCAAGTGACATCAATAGAATAATCCACAATGCGAATGGCATTGCCATTTTGTGAGTCGTCCTCCATGAACCCGAAAAGTACCCAATAAATGGCATAGTGACGAACAAATGACACGCCCGTCGTGAATTTATAGTTATGTAATGGCTAAAACGACAAATCAAATGGTCCCGACGCTTTTTGCACAGCACCATGACTCCAATATTAGGATTCGCCCTCTGTAGAATACCGCACACTTCAACACCACCACGGAAACTAAAACTGTGTGTGTCCCTGCTTGCTTTCAGGTACAGTAAAAGGCAGAACGCCCGAATATAAGATAAGATAAGATCAGAAAACTTTTATTCGTCTCGCAATGGAGAAATTCCCAATTCACAGCAGCAAAGTTATGAAAGGAAGAAGTAGAATAACAAAATATAGGAGCTGCTGGAAAGGCAGCCACTCTCGCGGCGCCATTTTGAAGTCAAAATAACACAACACAACACACAGGACACAAGACGGAGCACTCATCTGTATGTTATTTTTTTCTTCCAAAAGGTTGTGGAAGTGATGCGGAAGCTGAGCAAGTATTTAGGACGGATATCGCACAGCAGCA